GGGTAATAAGAGCTAAGTAAAAAGGTCAGGATTTCTTCATAGAGGTGTTAGTGAACTTATTAACTTGCGGTGTTTTAACAGCCTTTACCAACAGATGTGCTGCTTTCATCTCCTCACCAAGCTCTTTAAGCTCACCATCATCATCACTAAGTGAAAGTCTCATAGGCACTACTGATGTTGAAGCAGTGACAGAGGCCCTTGTTAGAGCTGTAAATTATAATGTGCAGCGTAAGTACTTGCCAACAAGCCTAATGTTCCACCTAACAACAATGAGGTGGGTCCAACATTAATCCCTTAGATTATGTAATACTTGTTTTCTAGCAGCTTTTAACTTTGCACGGGGTGTTGTACCTTTGTAGTCAATTTGTGTTAGAAGCTGACATATATTTGCAATTGTGGACAGCTTGGTTTTGAAGAGCTTAGTCTATGGTACAGTATATGTATAAAGACAGTTATGAGTACACTGTCACTGTCAATTTATGCATGTTATTGCTTGCTGATTAGACAAAATGGCCTCTTTACAAACTTCTCAGAGTGCCAAAGTGTGTTTTAATTTATCTGAGTGTATGTGACAAACATTATTACTATTAATTATATAATGATTTGCTTCAATCTATATAAAGCAGTAAATAAGTAAACACTACTTTCCTTGTAGAGCAACACTATCAGCACTTTACAAGACAACTTGCACAGATGACTTTGAGTTATCTTCACAACCTAATGGAAGATGGAGCAAAGATCTTAGAAAGCAAAGATTTACAGGATTCTCTCCATGCAGATGAATCTGGACAAGTAGCACATACTCCATTTTATCAAGAAATAATACATTGCCTTGAATATCTCACTCAGAGTGTTGTAAAGCTTCGTTGCCATCTTGCCAACATGCCATCGGTCAATACTTAGCTTGACTATCACTCAGGCTAGCCTGAAAAATGCTACGGCAGTCAATCCTGGACTTAAACTCCTGAAAATCTCTTAACATAATGACGTTTGTAGGCCCTTGTCTTAAAAGATAGGCTTTTCTCTGAACCTAAGAAAAGTTAATATTTGAATGTAATTAGATCACTAGATTACATTTGACACTTTTTTGTGTATTTCTGAAGGTTCAAATGGAGCTTGATCAGAGACTGTGTGGATGAAAATCATTTGGTGGAAGATCATTTTGCCGTAGTGAAGACAGATGGTAGTATAGAATTATATTCCATTTCCAAGGCATTTGAGGATTTTTCCAGCTCCTGCGATGCTGTTGTTGGTAAAGAGCTACTGAAAGGACTTCTGCATGACAGAGGCAAAGGTAGGAGAACCTTGTAATAATACTTTTAAACAGGTCCATGTGTTTTTTCATGGAACTCCACACACACACATTTGCCAACCAACCACTGATGAAGTCGCAATATTATTATCTATTCAATATATTAAACAGTTATTCCAGCTGACAAATTTTTTTATTGTAGATAAATAGGGAGTATCTATTTATCTTTCTATCTATCCATCCTCAAGCACATCTTGGACAGGAGATGATAGATAGAGGCGAGGCACATAGCACATTGTGCCAAGTTTGCCATAAGTTACCACCTCATATCCAACAAGCATGAGTGGAATAATTGTTTTTATTTATTAGAAACACACAAAAAATAGAAAAGTAAAAAAAAAATGAAAATAGAAATGCGCAAAAAATTATGTAATTCAATGTGGTTACCATATTAGTAGAGCATGGTATAATAGCTCATAACCCATGATAGCTAAGCCAGTGACCCCTAATTTGAATTATCCAATGATCCAGTTTTTAATTATGCAGATGCGAAGCAATCCACGTTAGAAATTGGGTCGCTTTGTTTTTTTTTGTTTTATTTTTTTCTTCATGGTAGTCGCAAATTGTAACGCAAGTTCTTATTGGCTATATTACTTTGTAGCCAATGGTAGCTCCTGTTGTTTTTTTATCCAGATTCAAGGTTGATTTTGTTGCAACATGGAAGGTTTCATGCAGTAAGCTCTGAGATGGCTTCACGAGGTACACAAACCCTCAACTTGTTGCAAAATGTGAGCAAATTTTACGTGTGACAAGTTGTGAGTTTGATGAACGAGCAACAGAGCTAAACTTTGTTGCTCAAAGTAGACCTGCTCTCTACCATTCGTAACAACCAGCAACAACAAAGCTGGTCACACAAGGTGAAGAACTCAAAACATCAGCCAAGTTAAGAGTTTTTGTATCGAACATATCGTCGCCACCTTTAAGTGGTGATATACGAGATACGGGTTTTTGTTTCTCATATTTCACCGCCTTTAGAACATAGAGCAACACATTCACTTTTTTTTGTAGTGCACGTTAGGTTGCAGGACCGCATGTGTTCAAAGAAAATTTGAAGGTGTATATTTAATTAAGAACCATCGAAATACTGTAAATGCTCTTGTTTAGTTATTATAAACCTGGATTTCGTTATTTTGAGCTTAATCTATTTTTGCATTGCTTGGATTTGAAATATTTAAACCTGAACAAGCGTTCCGAACTCTTGAGGAAGGACTTATTGCTTACCTTGCAACTTACTTGATCTGACCAAATGTCTCAAATGTATGTTGGTTACGGTTCCAGATCAGACAGCAGCGTCAAGTAAGAAACTACATGTAGCATTCATTTTTAAGAATGAGCAAAGCCATACATAGCAAGCCGAATGAGAACTGTACGGCTTGTAGAAAACTTGGCATAACATTCGCAATAAACTGTTCAGAATAATAGAAAACACATGATATATTGATTTGAGAGCATCCATATTTTGCAATTCGATTCAGGCGACATGTATGCAAATTGTGTTCGGAAAATTACTAGTGTTTTGATTTCTTTTTGCACGTAGAAAGAGCGTGTTTGTTCGTTCGAGGTCGTTATCTATTTCTGAACGAAAAGGAGTTTGTTTTCCAGTACAAGTGCTGTATTAAAACGAGATTTTCAAGATGTTCATCTCAAGAATTTGCAACTCTCTGGATATGTTTACATTACCTATTAATGCGTTAAGGGAAATATTGAATTTTGCTCATTATGTGACTCCTATCAAGCCAAGATCACACAGGTCATCAGGAGCTTTTTTATATGTGAGAAATTCCCTTCACTCTTGTATTTACATCTACTTGTCTTTTTTCCCAATATTTTAAGATCGTTTAACCGCAAGTTTGTTTTTCACTTCTGAGCACGTGCAAGGTGTCGCAGAAAAATCGTTGGAAATGTCATCATAGCACAAAGGAAAAGGGAACTGTCACAAAAGCCAAATCTTTTTTTGTGGGGGGCTTGGAAATTTCCCCCAAAAAATCTTCGCACAGAAAAATTGCCCAGACTTTTTGCCACAAAAATTCAATGGCCTGGGGTCCATGATTGATAAGCCCACCTTCTTTAGAGGGGGGAGAGGAGGGGGTGGGGTTGGAATAACAACAACCAAGGTTTTCTCTTTCCTTAAGAAAAAAAGAACATTCACCATTTTCACTTAATTTTGTTATCGGGCCTCACTCTTTGCACAGAAACCAACAATGACCACTGGAAAAACCATCCACTTTAAGGCCTCTAGGTCTCTTGTTATAAACAATATAAAAGTCTAAGAACTTTCTACAATGTACTTGCACATCTAATACAATGTATAGCTTTTAGTTATTAATTACACAAGCCAATAAAGAGAACTATTAAGCTGCAAGTCTATATTACTATAATATGATAGTTGCAAGTATCCTAGATCATTTAACATATTTATTTTCTGTTATATTTCTTAATTTGCAGATTGGTTAGCCAGTGAAATACACCTTGTGTCAGTAAGCAGAAGTATTAAGCCTTCTAAGCATGAGGTCTCTTTACTCCTGGATAACAAGTTTGTGGCAGTCCTCGCAATGGCCAAAAACACTGCAGCTGATATTTTAGTCTGCTTTGATATAAAGAACTCATCGACCACCAATGAAAACACTCAGCTGGGACTGATTGCACAAGTCAGGAGGTGCCATAAGTTTTATTTTACTCTACTTTCCAATGGTACTGTGTGTATCCTTTGTATTTTATAAAAATCAGTGTCTGTCTTAGAGAAGTATCTTCCTAACAGTGGGTATTTTGGCATGATGTAGTCTCATCAAAATACAAACCATGGCCATGGTTAAACAAAAGTTGCCTGATATGCCACCAAAGTGTACCAACAAGGTATGATCAGGTGTTCTCTGTACACAAATTTTGCCAAGTGACCATGATGTTGTAGCCACATTTATTATTGAGTCTATGATTGGAGCAACTACACAATACAAGGCCACTTTTGAAGGTGCATAAGTTTAGTGGCTTGTTGGATCGGCAGTGGATAAAAGAATGAGGAATAATCTATAATTATATGGGTCAAGTCCTAGGTCTATATATTTAGTGCTTTGTTGGCTTGTTTGGCCCAGCAGGGGATGAAAGAATGAGGAATAGTCTATTATGCAAGTCCTAGGTCTATACAAAATTAGTGGCTTGTTTGGCCTGTTTGGCCAGGCGGTGGATANTCAACATGACACAAGTGTGGGACAAAGAAAAATTCTGAGTCCCCGACAGGAATCGAACCCATGACCTCCCGAGCACTGGGCGGGCACTCTATCCACTGAGCTACGAGAACTCATGAAGAGCGAGGTCACTTAACTGCATACTGCTAGGATCAATGCTATCAAAGTCATCGTGAGTACTGATAAGTTAGGGTTCAATTCCTGTCGGGGACTCAGAATTTTTCTTTGTCCCACACTTGTGTCATGTTGATTAATTCACCTTCACATTTCATTGCCAAGCTTAAAATTCACCATCTTTATTAACTTATCAATTGACTTTTTACCTGATTAAAACAGTTAAAACATGGGTAAGTCTCTGCTGCAGTCACCATAATATGCTAATGAGTCTAATAATCCACTGCAACCACCTCCTGTAAGCAACCACCCAGGCTTGACATTTTGGTTGGTTGCCTATGGGAGGTTAGACTGTGTTAAGCTCTACTTTCTGTGATTTGTTTTCAATTACTTTCACAATTGATTCTTAACATGTTGAGTAATACACAATATGGGTGATTTTGTTGGTTCAGTTAATCTGTGGCCACTGGATAACCTTACAACAGAAGGTATGTATCTTGTAGGCTATTGAAAGTAAGTCTCATGTTTTGTTAAAAAAGAAACCATCTTCTTATCATTGTCAGTTAATTCAAAAGATTTTACCTCAACCAGTTTTACAACCTCCCATTGAATATGAATAAGTCTTGTAGTTTAATAAGCAGCTCAATATGTAATTTTCTCACAGGTAAAATAAGCATGTTACTTTGTTTATGTTTGGAGAATTGCATAAAAAAATTGTAACTTATTTTTTAAGTGGAGGTGGTGGGGGGTTATAAAATTTAATAAAGCATAACTAGTGAAACATTTCGTAGCTCAGAGTGTAAGAATCTCTTTGAGCTTTCCAGATTCTATGAACTTGTCTTATTCCGAGGCAATTTTGATCCTAGATACATATAGTGTTACAGTTGAAGAAAGACCAGTGTTCACACACTTGGAAGTAGCTGATGATCTCTCCTTTGTTGTCTGTGCTGATGCCACTAGTAATATCTACTTGGTGAACCTTGATGAATACTTTGAAGAGTCTCCTTCACAGCTCATTGTTCCTGTGTGCTCCAGAGTGAGGGGCTCTTCAGTGGGGAGTGTTAAGTTTCGGTATGAACTGAATGATGAAGATTCTGTGGCACGTGATTTAGAAATGTCAGGTGTTGCTTATGGAGACAGGGTGTGGAAAACAGAGTTGCTGGCTTTCAGGAGGGATGCAAAGCAAGCATGCCTTAGAAATGTTTCAGGTGAGTGCGATATATAGAGGATATTACATGTTGGCAAGAAGATATGAATTTTATGTTCTCGTGGCAAGAACAATATCTCACGAGTGAGCGAAGCAAATGAGTGAGATATCGTTCTTGCCACGAGAACATAAAATTCATATCTTCTCACCAACGTGTAATGTTCTTTTTATTATATGGAGAAACCAATTCAACAAAAGCAAAAGGCAGGAATCATGCTGTCATTGAACGATACGACACTCACAAAGGTGACATACGGAAAATACGCCACTCGGTTCCTGGATGAAGTGGCGTATGGAATCTACGAGTGGTTTAGTTCCCAGTAAAACACTCTTCTCCATATAATAAGTAGAGCTATAACATCATGTCCACGAGGTCACATCAATAGAGGTACAATGCCATACCATTGAAATATTTGTACATACATACAACATAGTGAGGCAAGGAATTTGATTAATTATCAAACTGGAACAAATGTTTGGAACAATTAGTTCTCAGTTTTTAAAAACTAGACTGTTGAACTATTTCACTTGATTCATCTTCTGGAGTGATGGAATACAATGTGACATCTGACATTTACCACACTTTTTTCTCATTTCATAGATGTGAACAGTGTCTGTATACCTCCTGTAAAGAAGAGGTGGTTTTCAGACTTAGTAAGTGCTGATGATGGAAGTCTCTACAGTGCATTCAGTTCATGTAGCAAACAACCATTGACAAGCACTAGCCGAGTGAGTGGTTTTAGAGCAAAACAGAGAGACGAAGCAGAGATCATTACTGAAGAACTGCCATTTACTGGATGTGTTCAAAAAACACTTTTCATTGAATGTGAAGCGTGGATGGAAATGTGCACCTTGGAAGGCGTATCAGTGACACCAGCATCATTCTTGTTGAACTTTAAACCAAAGAAACTGAAGAAAGATGAAGATCATCCTACTCACATGTCACATGGTGTTCTTTGCCTGTTTTTGTGCAAGTCCAAGGAATATGTTTATCACTGGTACGATCTCTTGGGTTTTAATTAACTGCAGCATTATTTAAGGACAAGTTAGATAGAGGTGCATACAGTCGAACCTGTATTAAGCAGCCCTGTATTAAGCGATCACCCTCTATTAAGCGGTCAGTTGTCAAAGTCCCGAAAATTACTTCCCTTAATTACTGTTATTTTGACCTCTATTAAACAGTCAACTCTGTTAAGTGGTCTCAGTCACCCTTAACTAAGTCCTGNTTGGTAACAAAGAAAAAGCTGAGAATTGCTGGGTTCTTTGCATTGTTACCTTTTCTAACATATCTTTGTAATAAAAGACTAAAGCCATCAATACATTGGGTTCAATTATAGAGAAAAATAACGCAGATAGTGCGGGTGTTGCATGAATAAAATGGTTGCTCTATTGACGGCATGTTTGTTTATTGCAATCCTTGTGCACGTGCTGAATTGCATCAGCAAAGGCGCACACGAAAACTGTGTTCGGCCACCTTAATACAGGTTCGACTGTAACTTCTTCAGTCTTTCCAGGTGGCATTCACTACTGTTATGAGGATACTTGGTTACAGCAATGTTACCTCCTCTGTATGGTTTGAACTGTACTGTTCAAGTTCTTTTGACATGCATTTTGTTACTTCAATTAACATCTTTTGAAAATAAGAAATGAAATTAACAGTACTTTTTGAAAAATGTTATGAATGTTTTGTAAAACATGCAGATGAGTGCATTGCATTCAGTCTGTGACACAAACAAATAGACCTTACATAGTAGGTTACTTTTCATGGAGGAGTGCTTTCTAAGAACACTGGTTGCCCATCTTTTTCAGGTTATCAGAGCCTTCAGTTATTGTTCAAAGCTGTGAAACTGTGTATCCACCTTTACTACTTACTACCAAGTCTATGGCAGCACCAGCATTTGATATCAGTCAAGATCAGCTGGTCCACAAAGTAATATAAACTAAGATTTCCGTTCTTCCTGATTTTCGTCAAAAGAATGAATCTAGATACTTTCCTACGTTATGTTTTTATTTTTGTATATATCCTATTGTTTTGTATTCTATGTTAGGTAATAGCTTCAGGGCTCCTGTTGATAGCAGAGATGATTTGTAAGCTCCCTGAAGGGACTACCCTGAAAATTTACCTATAGATTTTTTACTTTCAAATAAAGGTGTCTATCTATCTAAGTAGAAGAAGCAAAATAGTTATGCTTCAAATAACATTCCATTGGTGTACAGCTCTCCTTCTTTGTTAAAGACAATTGTCATGAGTGCATATCATTTGAGTACCACTACTCACTGTTATTTCAAAACAGTTGCCGTAGCTCAGGGAAAAAAAATGATTCTATGTGAAGGTCAGGGAAAATTCAGGGAATTAAGAATCTTAACAGAGAGATCGTGCAGATAGAATACATACTGCTGATCTTGCACTGCCATGGCACATGTAAATTGTGTTTGATTGGTTTGTTTCTTATGAGTGGGTAGACATAGTCAAGTTTACCCAGACACTGCACATACCTACAATTGCTAGATGATGATGCCTTTTATTACTCCTTCTCGGAGCATAGGCTACAGATAAAGCGCCTCCACCCTCCTCTGTCTCTGGCCATCTGNTGATGCAAGTGGCATGTCTTTTGCAAAAATAGAAATGGATGAGGAAGATGTATCAAGCAAAAGATGGACCGAAATGAGTGATGAGGTACTCTTTCATTCAGATGTTAGATAAATATAGTTGAACCTTTTGTTTTATCATTGTTATTTACAGCCATCTCACAGACATGTACAGGGCCACCTTGTTGAATGGGTTCCAAGGATGTAGTTGATTATTGCTTTCCAGTACCAGAACTTGGCACACGAAATCAATAAAAGCATAACTTAAATTGGCCTTAAAACACTACTCGGATCATTCAAGGCCAAATTAATTGATGCATTCATTAACATTTACTGCTTTTATGCATTCTTGCATTTTGTGGGCTCCCTCTTAAACAGATGGCTTGTTAGTTTGGTTAAATTGAATCCTTTTGCATTTATTTAATAATGATATGATTTTCATTATCATTTAACAAATTATGTTATTCACAGTTGTGAACTGTCCATTTATATGAATTTTTAGGAGGTTGTTGAAGATGCCATTGTCAACAGACAGATTTGCTCAGCACAGACATTCTTTCAGAGCAGGAAAGAAGTACAAATGGTAGGATGGAAGGCCAACAAGTGCTATTATATTTACTAATTAATTTTTGCTTGTGTACCAACATACAAGAGGGAGAATATAAACTGTAGAATTGTCAACATCTGAATTTTGCAAAGCTCTTTAGAGAAACTGAGATTCTTTGTGGTGAGGGTATCAATCAATAGTAAAATGTGGTTAAAAGTGTATGTGAAATAAGTGATCAATAGATTAGACTACATTAGCAAATATAAAAGCCATATATACAAGTGTACTGCCTTACTACACTAAGAACACTGTAAGTACATGTAGAATCCCAGTTCCCCTCGTATGTAAATGGCTCATTTAGGAAAGTTGTCACTTTTATTTAGACTTAAATAAGTTTTTTACTCTACATCAAAGGATAGTGCCACAATATAGCAAGTTAGCTACTACAATTTAAATTTCAAATCACACACTTGAACTTTCGTAGCACTTGCCGTTCTATTTGACTAAGCAGAGGCATTCATCCTCCTGCAGCACTTGTAAGTCCATGGTAGTGTACACTCTAGTTTATGTAGTCTTTGCTGTGTTTTGTGTTCTAACTAAGCAAATATAAAACAGTTCATGGTGGTTACTTAAAATCACATCCTTCCCATCAGTTTTGTAAATGGCCCAGCAAGTTTTCAGAGGTTAATGAATTCCTCAGAGTTCACTGGTACAAAACATGGCACTGACCATTAACTGCCTTTTCAGTATAATTCTGAAAATATGCTTTAAATATTAAGTAGAAGCTTATTGTCCTCGTTAGAGGGGTTTTCAATTGAGTGTCATAAAACCAAAACCAAGGTATTCACTTTAGCCAACCATAAGGGACACTGGAAATCCAATGCACCAATCAAAGTTTGAAGTAAATTCAGAGAAAAACCTGAACAAGCATTTGGTCTTGGTTTTACTTATGATTTGATGAAGAAGTGGCACAAGAGTTTTAAGCCAATCATGTAGCACAGAAAATGAAAACCAATTACTTTTGCACACTCCGCAAAAATTGCTCTTACTATTACCTGCTTGAAACTTGTTTCAGTCACCAACAACAGTTCTTTTCAGAACTACACTCACCTGGACGATCACACTATACGAACTACTGATACTCCTGGGTTCAAACCATTTACTGTGAAACTTGTTTATTACCCAATTGAATGGCAACCATGTAAAATAGCAAAGTTTACAATCGGTCCAACCATTGTCATTTGCTATAGGAAAAGGGAAGCATATTAAATGTTGTGGCTGCACTTTGGTAAATCTATAAGTGTTGCAGTAATTTCATAACTATGAAGACCAACACAACAAGTATTCTAACATTATCAAATGGTAATTATTTCCAGTCTGTGAATCAGGGAGATGCCTTGTGTGATGGTTCCCTTTCAAGCTTCATTGAAGTTGGTCTCAAAGCTGTTCTTCAGAAACTTCTGCATTATGACATGGATACAGTAGTTACTATGTTAACAAACATGGTAGGTTAAACACAAAAGAAGGAAGATATTTGCAGTTAACTAAAAACCTCTGGTGATTCATCTGACTTGTTTTCATTTCTACCCTACTGTGGAAGATTGTTTGGAACATTGTTGTTTTGATTCAAGTATATTATGCTTCCTTGCCACTTGACAAAGACATTTCTGATAGGTTCCATTTCATACAACCAGTCAAAATCTAAGTAATACAGTCCAGTGTTGCATGGTCACACACACTGCCAGGGAGTCTAACAATTAAGACATCAACTCTTGTTTTAAATGTCTTAGAGTTTGTTTTGTAAAGTTTGTGATAACAGCAGGAGTCATCATATGGGTGTCAAGATAATGTTAAATTGAATGAATGTTTTGGTGACTGGCCATGGTATAATGTGCTTTATTGTAAGCTTTTGTTTGTTTTAGTCCGTTTCCTGCTTAGGACCAGTTTTTTTCCACTATTTTAGACTAAATATCTGTTATGGTACAGCCCATACGTGCATCCTGTGCTTAGCCATCAAACATGTTTGCCAATGAATCACCCATAGAACTATTTCCTGCAGGGTCGTGATGTTTTGCAACAGCTTCACAAGATCTGCCTGTATACACTTCACAGGCCTCTTAGAGATTTTCTGGTAAGTCACACCTTCTACTGATAACTTACTGTACTTAAACATAAACTTGAAAATGCTTGCATGCATGCATGGTTAGTTGTTGTATCTCTAATTTTTTTAGACAGTCCTTATATTTATCATTTTGATGACAGAGATGCAGTTTCAGCTTCTTTCACCTGACTGGGTAGAACTTTCAATTAGAAAAGTAAATTATATTATTTGATTTTCCAAAATATCTGTGACCAGAGAGGCATATAGATGGTGTTTAAAGCTCACCTTACTATCTTTCATCAGTTGCTTCTATAATGCAGTAGGCCTAAAGAAGGAAACAGTGCAGTTCTTAGCATCCACATGTACTTCTTAAAAAAAACTCACTTTGGAGCCTGATATCCTTAGTGTCCAATTTTCTTAACTGTAATAGTCTGACAAGCCTTGAGCAATCCTGCCTACAGCGTGAAACAGCAATTGCCACCTGGCCTTGGTTGTCACCAACTAATGTGATGTGTGGTACAGAGAACTGAGTGTTGTATGTCTTGTTGGCTAAGGGCGATACAAAAACAAGTCAGAGGCTTCATGGGTCTTTGCCATTACACTTTATCAGTGTCCAATTTGTTATCTTAAACCTCACATGCTTGTTTTTGGCTGGTAGTGTTCAGAATTTGAAACAGTTTATCAAGAATACTCATTAAGTTTCACTATAAACAGATTTACTAATGTTCTGTGTATTGATGTCTTTATCAGGCAAAGGAGTTAGAATCAAGAGATTATTTATCAGCAGTGGAAATAAATGTGGTTGAGTTTGTCCATACCCTGGAAAGCATGTACTGTCAACAGTCATTCACAGAATCTAAAAAGAATCTTAGCAAAAGTGACCAAAAGTGCAGGTTTGTGAAAAATGCTCACTTGTGGCATTGAAAGACAATGCAATGCAAAGCAATTCAATTTAGGAACCCTTTTGAATAGCATGAAGACTGAACCAAGGTTAGCACACTGATGTTTACCTCACACCACTCTACTTGAACAGTCTCCATAAAATTTCATTTTGAGCTGATTGTGTAATAAATTGTGGATATGGGTAGCAATATTAGCGTATTTGTTTGTTCTCCCCGTAATGCCTCACTGGCTTTGTTCATTTGAGATAACTTTGTTTCCTGTGCTAGGTTCCTATACAGTCGATTCATTGAGAGAATTTCAAGCCTGACAGTTTGTGATGGAAATGTTTCTAACACAACTGCATTACAGTTATGCACACATTGAATACTCTGTAAACAGGGCAATCCTCTAAACACAGATAGAATGTACTTCTCTTTGTTATAAATTTTTCACTACTTTGATTATACAAAGTGAGGTTACTGTGGGGCTATTCATCTTATGACTTGCTTTCAATAGGCCCTTTGCAGCTGGGGTCATGTGACCAAATGTTTTCTAGAAAATTTTTATATTATGGGCTATAACTTAAAGAATGCCAGAAATGGAAAGAGTGCATCGAAAATACCTAAATGGCCAAGTTTGAGGCCCCTGGAATTAAAGAGTAAGTTTATAGGACAGTTTGAATTTTCGGAAAATTTAGAGGATTTGTATGTAAAATGTTGCTGGAGAGCAAGGTCTTGCTCTCCAGCAACTTTTTCCATACAAATCTTCTTATTCTTTTAAAAATTTGGACCATCATAAAATCTCCTTCTTTAATGATAGGGGCCTCAAACTTCGCCATTTTGAAATTTTCGACATGCTTTTTCCATTTCTGGCATTCGTTAAGTTATATCCCATAATTTTATGAAAAATACCTAGGTCACATGATGGCTTAGTTGCAAAGGGCCCATCAATTCCTTCTTTTCAGTTGGGGAGATCTCGGACTTCTAAGGAGTTCTTTTAACCTGGGTTCCACCCAAATCCTTGACACTTACATGCAGACTGGTAATCTAGTAGATGCAGAAATTGACAAGCAGGTAAGATATTCTATTGTGCACTACTGCAACAAATATAATGGTATCTACTGACAGAATTAGTATGAAAACAAATATTTGTCATCAGAAGGATTGGCTAAACTCTGAAAATGAACTGAAGATGGTTCTGGTTGGAATTGTTTCATGCTACTGTATGAAGCAAATGTTACAAAAGGTAAATGAAGCTTTGTCAGGGAAATGTTTTAAAATATTGCCTGTACCTGATTCCCCTTAGCTCCATGTCTCACTTGAAAGAGGAATAAGCTTAACTTTGCTTTGAACTTTGTGTCAAATAGTCAGTGAACGATTCTGTAATAAGCATCTCTGTGGACTACAATTTATTATTGATTAAAATTGATGTGTATCGGTGTTGTAAAGTGGTTGGCTGTTCGTTTCAAAATTACTACAGGGTATACGCGGGTTTTTCTGCCACATATACTTGGTTACATACGTTACGTATGGGCTTTAAGCTCATACATACGACCATTTAGATCGCATATATACGCATTTTTAAAGGGCCACATATTTGCGTAAATTCAAGCGCGGGGATATGCAAAATAAATGCCCGAATATATGCATCCTACGAGGACCCATATATATGCGTACTAAAATGTGTGTATATGCGGGTCTTGTAAATTATGTTTTATATGCCAGCATGAAATGTGCCTTTTAAGAGAATGGCTGTTCATGTATGATAGCAATGAAAATTACTTTAACTAGGAATCGTCAGTATGGTGGCAGTGGTAAAATGCCTTGTCTTGGTCTATCTGATAGTTAATGTTTGTTACTGCAGCTCTCCAGTTAATGAACTTCTAGAAACAGTTATGCATGTTTTGAATGACTGTTCAAGATTTTATCCTAACGCTAATAATTTTATTGTCGTGAAGTTACTGTGGATTACTCTGTACATTGTTTAGTGGCCTGCGTAGCTTGGCGGTTATTAGGCAGTTTGAACGCACTAAGAAAGCGGCAAAGCTGTGATAATGAGCACCAAATGTGGCGTAGCCACGAAGAACGTGGGGGGTTCCTGCTCGTTTTCACGGCTTTGTCGCTTTGTGCACTCGTGCTCAAATTGCTTAAAAAATTATTGCTAAACCGCCAATCTACGCAGGCTAATCCTTTAGTTGATTCACTGGACAGATGTACCAATTTGAATGCTGAGAGGATACGGCCTCTAGAATCGCTGGTGAGACAAATGTGATATTTACTACTAAGATGGGAAATGTTCGCATTAAGAGCAGTTTCATGCACCTCAGTGTACTCCCATTAGGGCTTTGCCAACTGCATCATCTTCTAATGGAAGAGTGGGTCGTCCAGCCTATGATATATCAATACCTCAAGGGGAGTTTTAGGAAACAGAATGTGATTTTAGTGTAAGTCCTATTAGGTCTTCACCAGATAATTAATCATCAAATGTGTCCCTGACGGCTAGTATTTCTAGTATTACATATATCACTGCGTTCACCCAGATTGGTTGTGCGTACAGCATGGTTATTCCATGCCTCAACTAGGAGGTTTAGGTGGTTGTTAATTCTGGAAAGAAATATGTAATACAAATGGAACAGATTGATTATGCTGGTCGATTCCAGGATGCCATTTTCTTNTCAAGTCGTTCGAGTTTCGAGTCGAAGTGACAAAGAATTTATCACTCGGTTAATTTTTCCTGTACGTGTCAATCTTGCTGGTTTACTTTTAGAGACAGAAAAAATTTCGAGTTGCGACTCCAAGAGGCGGTAGGCGACTCTACGTTTGTAAATCGGTTGGCTTTAAGTTAAATCGGTTGTTTTGTCCCTCGGTTGAACTTCTTTCGATCTGGAGTTAATTATCGTTTAATTCAGAGTAACAACAGAGTAACAGTTCTAAAGACGATGCTGAGTTTCGTTTAAATCAACTGTACGAAGGGCACGATAGAAATCATTAATCAAACTCACATACAATAACAACCACGCGAAATCAAATGTTTGGGCCATATCCGGGCAGTTTAATGTACTTCCATTTGGGGAAATTACAGCTGCCATGGGAGGGTGAGGTGGGGAGAAAACGCACAACTACAACGGCAGTAGTAAAGTTCTGGATTGTGGGTTGCTGATCAGATGTATTATCAGGGTACAAAATGTCAATATTATGCCTGGATTTAGGAAAATGGTGTTAATGAAACTTGTTCTAAGGTTATTTTCTCGCCAAAGCAGTAAGCATAAGTAGGTGATATAAAATTTCAAAATAAAATCAGTCTTTTTCAGTTCGTCTTCTCTCTTTTGTTTTGTACCCTTCCAATTTTGTTCGTTTTTCATCACTTAATTGGGCGGGGTGATTTGCAGGCATTGAGGTGTCATAAAAGCAAGGTGTAGTTCACTTCAAGTTGGTGTGAAGGAATGAACTTTGTGTTCATCGTTTTCAGAAATCCAGTCAAATATAGTTTACTGATAATGTAGAAAGTTATTATAAATATCTCATAATCAGAGTTATTATGGTGTAATAAATTATTTCTTTTAGCAGAATTTTTCAAGTGGTAGTAGTTATGTCGAGTTGCCCCTAGCATGGGTTTGTTCATGGGATGACATCTCTAGACAGAGAATTCTGATTGAGAGAATGCTCACATGCCGAGGTATTGAGCTAAACTACCATTATTCCATATTGATTTTTGGTATAGTTATCTCATTGAATGGTTTGGTAAAGAAATAAAACAAATTATTATTTACACAGGATGTGTTTATATCCTTTGGTACAAACATGAGTATGTCCTTATCTTATATATTTTTTTCAATAAGTGAAGTTTAATTGGTTGGTATAGGACCCTTAGGGGGATTCGTAGGAAATTCCAACTACAAGTTGAGTTATAACTAGGAAGAACAAAAAAAAATATACAAAAAATATATATGCTATAAAAAAAATATATATCACACTCTGGATGCTCACTTAGGAACAGTTGTTGAGAAGTGCAGTTGTGCTAATATCTGTGAAGACTGTTAAGACCTGTTTTACCATACCCAGTTAATATGGCCACCCGGTTAATATGATCAAATTTTCATGGCACAGTGGTGACGGTATTAACGGAGTTCTGTATATAATTATAATGTAATAAAGGTGTATTGCGACTGACATACACTTAGCTTCTAAAAGTACATTAAAATACAAGGTTATATATAATAAGACCTGTTGTGATTACTTCTAAGGGTGTTTATATGTGAATTAAACTCTTCACAGCTGAAGATGGTAGTGCCCTCCCTCATGATGTTGAGATAAGAGCAGAAGCCCTTTGGAAGTACCTTTCATCTCACACTAACTGGCAGACATTACTGGGCTGGATCAGATCAATGGCTCTTGAGTTTGATACATCCCATGATGATCCCTCTCTGTATGTGGGTAAAAAGTTTGCTGTTCATGGTGGAGATGTTGTGTTACCATCACTTCCTCCCTGCATCTTTAGTCAAGTAGGTTCCTGTCACAAGGTTGTTAAAGAGATGATTTTGGAAGAGCTAACAAGGTTAGTCTAGAACCACCATTCACCCTCGTGGATCGTGTAATTTTTTAACTGGAAATGTTGGGTAGGATGGACTAGCAATAAAGATTAGTAAGCCATTTTTTCACATGTTTAACACAGGGTTCATCTTCTCCTGGCTTGTAAATCAATGATAAATGATTTTATAACACTTTATGTATGCAGTACCCATAGTTCACACCATTGCTTATTTTTGTCCATTTAGAAATGGAATGTTCACAACATCTCAGCTGTCCAACTTTTCCCTTCTACTGTATTATTTGAGCACAACACAGACATTGTTTGGGGACAATCTTCCATTGCTTTCTTTGGATGGCTGCTCTGCAGATGGTAGTGAAGACTCCTTAAATACAGAAGGATGTATTGTATCAATTTTCCAATTTCATCAGAGTTTCATTGACTACTGTATAAGACTAAGGCTTGTCAACCTCTTGTACCACTACTTGGACTTCTACAGGTTAGTACAAACATATTTCATTAATGTAACTGTAGTTAGAGGGAGGCAGATTGTAGGGAGAAGACAGCATGAAGGATTAAGTCAACTATTCACAACAAACATTTTGGAATGTTATGAGGTATCACTTGTGTCAAATCTAGAAGGACACAACCAGTTTCTCCTGCAACTATTAAAGCTGTTGTTGAGCATCACAATCAGGCTTAGTGGAAAAGAGGAAATTGTGGTCAGAGGATGTTGAAATTACTTTCATGTATCAGTGACTCCAAAATGGTGGCAAAAAGAAGATAAACATTTCATGACACCATTTTTCCTATACTAATATTTTGACTATTCTTACTAATATTTTGATCTTATCATTATCAGGCTATGTGAATCTGTACAGGGTGTGAAAGAACTCAGATTGGATTTGAATAGACCTCATTGGGTTGACATGCTGATTAAGTGTCGACTCCTTGGACGTAACTGCAAAGGTACATACATTGTATTTTTGTCAAAATTAATGCTCTTTTCATTTTAGTTTTGCCATAGATATTTCATACTTTATTAGGTAAACATATTCCTATCAAGTGTTACTTGTATTTTCTTTGTCATATGCTGCAGTTGTAATGTAAGGCTGTTCATTTAAAGGAGTAGGTTTTGGTTAAAAATTTTGGCAAAGAAACACCAAGAAACCAAAGCAGCTCCCTATAATTGTATTTAATGTTGCAGTAGTGATTTTAACATGTAAAAGTGAATTGTCATAGTTTATAGAGAACTATGATTCTCTCCATTTAGATCCTGATGCTGTTTTCCAAGCCAGTCTGGCCATGGCTGGGTATATGTTAAGCATGGAGTCTCCAACAGTCACTAACATTCTGAAAGCTGGACACCCAGTAATAGCCTTAAGTAGTCTTCTGTATGGACCAACCACAGTTAATCAGGTAGAAAAATGCATTTTACGATACTGTTGTATACAAAACCGTCCCATAACTTACATGTCTTCAGCCAAGGGTTTATGATAGTTAGTCCAGAAAAAGCCACCACACCCCCATGCATCAACTACCCATTGTGACTGAATGTCTGTTCATTAATTTAGGGCTGGCAGGAGAGTATTGAAAACATATGGCTCTCCTTTCTGGTTGATAGACCTCAAGAGCTTGCTGTGATTTATATTGACACCATGACCTCAAGCCAAAATTAATATTATTCCATCTAGCCTTGTCACAAGTGCAAACATCTTGCTACTGATGTTTGAGACCTTCACATATTTATTTCAAGGCATGCATTTGAGATAAACACCTTTTTTGGCTAAATTAATGATACAAGTCAGTGGGAAACTGACATGTTTTTCTTGGGGCTTTCTAGTTTTCCTCCATCCACATATAATCTCCACATAACTCTCCACATTCCCAGCTCAGTTTGATATGGAGCCTCTCCCTTGAATGACAATTCCAGTTTATTTATTATTTATACATAAAGAATTTTAAATGTTATTTTAAAATTCTTTTTCTGTTTATTTATGTAAATTATTTCTGAATCATCTCAGGCCATCATCTCATCTGAATCACAGCCCAGAATCCCAGTTTGGCAAGTGGAAGACCAACTTATGCATGAATCTCTCATGAATTTCCCCAAAGTGCACTCAGCTTTGTTTCCTACAACATCTGGTTCTTGTGGCATTGAGCGTCAGGATGTCTCTGTTTACAGACTTCTACAGGTGTGCAATTGGAGTGTTAATTGTTTAAACTGAATGCAGGGTTCATCTTGCTAACCAAGTGAATGATAAATTGTATCACTGTAAATCCTGAGACCCTTGGAATTGTTGATTTTTGTAGAGCTGTAGAGATTCAGTACAGCCTCCAGATTCAACATGCAAACTACATGCAGCCAAATGTCTTGCAGTTGTGAAGTACACCAAGTGGCTGCAAAGACGTACAAACAATAAAAACATTAAAAAAATAATACCTCAAAGTACATATTTCACCCTTCATAGCCAAGCAAAACAACTGGAAACAAGTGTCCTCACAAAAGCATTTGCATACCATTTAAAAGAATATGCTCTTCAACTTTGCATCACAAATAAAACATGTAGAGGCAAATCTGGCATGTCTCAGTTTATGATATGTCTATCAGCATGGTGTCATACATAACTATTGTTTCAAATGACTTGATTATGCAAAACCTTAACATCTCACATAACTTGTAACTCTCCAATTACCTTTGTTAATTTTAAAGGGAAACTCGCCATTTGAAATTTCTAGACTATTTGGATGGCAGCCAACAAATGACCTTGCTCCCAAGGGAGGTAAGATCCTTTTTCAATGATTAGTACTTTTCTATTATGGTAATGCAGTTTATTAACTTTTGAAAAGTTCAGCCTTTCTTGTCACAAGAACCAGAAACAAACTTTGATTCTGTGTGCACATCTGAAAGTTAAATCCAGTCACACTTGGACAGTATACCCTTTCAGTGCATTAAAGTTCTTGCAATACCTTGAGAAGATTGATGCTATCTCCTGTCCTGTTTTCAGTAGAAAGGATGACTTTTCATTGATGAAATTTATATATGCAAGAATACTGCTTAGCTTTGCTTCTACTAGACCAAAGCTGTATCGCTAAACTTGTGATGAATGTGCCAGAATACAGTATTGATTTTACTTTCCATTATTTTTGTTTTTCAGACACATCTTTTGATATGCCACATTTTTCTAATGACCTGTTAGTTTCCCAACATGGACATGTCGAGAAGTTGACATTTTCATATTACCTTCGCCATGGGAGACCCTCATTTGCTTTCGTATCTTTTATTGGCGAGAAGCTGAAAGATGCTACCATGTCCAAAGCTAAGTGAGTCAAAAGATTAAAATTCAGATTAAATCTAACTGTTGTTTATCTTCCATCTTGATGCTGTGTCACATGTTTATACTTTTATGATTATAATTATTTTGTGTATCATTGCAGAATACAACAAGCAGCATTGAAGGCATATAGAGTTGCTGTGCAGCATTTGACAAATCCTTCAGTGTGTGCTGCATGTGTGGCATTCATGGAAATGCTTGGGTTGGACAGCACCCCTCTTAGAGTAGACATACAAGCTGCTGATAGATTGTTGGCACATGCAGGATTGGAAGATCTCCTAGGAGATGATGCCAAGGAAGGCAATACAATGGAAGATGCTATTGGTAACTGCGTTGCTCTGGCATTTAAGTTGTATTTCTGTTAGGACCAACCACTTCAAACTGAAAGTGTTGTCAACCTTTTTAAGCAATATCGCTTCAGGATTATTACTTCTCCAACGCATTAATAATCCATCAAATTTAAACAAAGGAGATCATGACCATGACAGTGTTTGGATATCTGATGTAAGATTTTTTACTTTATTCCTCCATTTGTTTCTTCATATTTTTTCATTAGTTGCGATTGAAAAGAGAATTGCAAACACCTCTAAGGTCGTCAAAAATGCCTTGCCTGTTCCAGGCTCTTGGTAGTTTGGGATGAGTGAAAACAAGCGAGAGAAAAAACAAGGGAGGACTAAGCCGAGGAACGGCGAGAGAGCCTGTAAGACTTTCTTTAACGACCCTCTTCTGGTATAGCAGGAACTGCTATACCCTCTGATTCGTTGATTTTGACAGTATTGAGTACTTGCAACACCCTGTTGGTTCCCTCATTTATTGTCAATCAGAAAGATGGTCAGTGTGGTCTTTCTTGGACGACTGTCTGCAAGATATCCCCAATACTCAAGCGATAAAGAAGGAACAAGAATTTTTTNGTTGTAATGTACTAAACAGATGAATGATTGAGGACAATGGAATGAAATAAATGGGCTTGTATTCACACCAGAGGCTGTTGCGTCATAAGTAAAAAATAAATAAAATCATAAAGATAAAAAAAAATTAGTTTAGCTGGTTGACTTAAAAACCCCTCTGTTGTGCATGAAGGGCAGCGGCAAATTTGTGCCACAAATGAGGAGGTATCTCTACTTCAGTCAAAGCCATACATTTACAGCACCCATTGTCCTCTTTGTTCAGCTGGAAAGACATCTCACCTTTGATTAGATGGGCACACCATGTACAGGAAATGCTAAGGCAGCCCTAACTGCCTGCAATATGGTCCTCATTTAGCAGAATTAGGTTACTCAGGATGAGATGTTCAGCTGAAATTCAGGACCTTTTTACTATTAGACGTGTTTTGCTCATTTGCATGACTCCTGCATCCCAGTTCTTGTTATAACTTCTCTAATATTTTTGTTGCTATACTTTCAGGTGGTGTATGTCATTGAGCATGACTTCTCAAATGCTTATATCCAGGAACATTTGCAATTAGCATTTGACAATGTCCAGGTGATTAAGGTTGAAAATCCATCAAGTGATGAACTCACCAAGAAGCGAATGCGGAAAAGGAAGCTTGTTAGGACAGGAGAACAAGTAAGTTTGTTTCTTAGTTTGTCATGTTTTTACCACTAACTGGTAGAATGCCACTGTATGTCAAGTCTGACTAGTTCATAGGAAAATCAGAGACTCTGCCTCTTCCCTTTTCTTTCCACCCCTACCTCTTACCTTAGATTTCAAATTTGTATGAAATGTTGTACAAATTCTCTGTTGGGAAGTGTCTATTACATTCTATAATCCTTTAATATAAAAATTTGCTTTCTCACTGAGTGATATGGTAAGTTTATCTAGGGCTATGTTAACAGTGGCGCCCAGGCATGGTGCTCAAGTACGATTCTGGCTGGGCACTGATTTGAACACGCCTTTTTTCCAAGTAACCACACCAGAATTTGGGCTCAGTGCCTGTGCCTGGGTACAAAGTAATTGGGCACTAAATGGTACTTGGGTACTTAGAGTACCCAGTGTCTGAATGCAACACTATTTTGTGCAAGTGCCTAGGCACCAGTGCTCAGGCACCAAGTGTGGACACAGCATAAGAGCTATTGAATGTTGAGGAGTATGTTTTGTAACTACCAGGACTAGTACAGTGCAGGTTGTAAAGTTTGATATTACTGATAGTACATGAGTTTGGCCTACCTTTCAGGCGGTAACACCTTCTAGGGATGTCCGTGCCCAGTTCTACTCTCGCATGGGTCTTGTTGCAACCACAACTGCACAGTCTTCTCAAAGTATAAAGGAAGAGCCAGCTCCTCATCCATCATGTAGCAGTAGTGCTGAAGATGAACAAAGCTCTAAAGAAAGAGCAAACCATGGCAGTGACAGGGAATCTAATAGCAATAAAACAGAACACGAGACTGATAATAGGCCAACAATAACTGTTGACTGCCCAGGTACTGATTTCCCGTTTTCTCTAAGGTATCAATCTCTGATCTGTCTTTGTTGGGTAGGTCATGCAATATTAAGGCTTGGCTATACTTGATCTTTATTAAGTCAGAGACGTGGTAATGCAGACCATAATGAACTGCTTTCCATTGACAAATATGATGTTTCATATTAAGTATTTCTTTGTAATTTAGTCATATTCAAGTGCTTATGAAGTTGTAATATTTGGCTTCATATTGGAACCATTCACTAGAAAGAATCACATGTTCTAAAACAGGCAAGCAATTGAACCAACTTAATGATAGAAGTCTTTCAACTCTCAGTTAATGTCTGGACACCCTTATTTTATTAAGTACTGTCCATGATTAGTTTGTGTGATTAACAACTAAATCCATTGGCACATAAGAAAAGACTTCATATACTTTTACTGACACTTGATTCTCTGTTTTTCAGAAGTGCTTCTTGATGCCGAAGAGGTACATCACAATCTGTTTGACATTCTGTTCAAATGCCAATCAGTTGAGGTCCCCTGGAGGCACTTACTGGCATATTCAATAACACTTCACAGGTCGCTCCTGTCAGTACTGGCTGCTTGTTTCCAGGTAAGTCATGGGTGCATAATGGGGCCTTGCAAGACCTGCTGTTTTCTTGATGATTTAAGTTAATGCTCAGGCAAGGAAAAAATGCACAGTCCATTCCATTCATAGGGGTTAGAGGAATCAGATAGTTAAGGTCAGGGTCGGCTGGGCAAGATCCCTTTTTTAACAATATTTCTCAGAATCAATATTTGAAATTATTAATATCTATTAAAGGGCTTTCAATTGAAAGTGCTTACTGGAGTATCGGTACTTACTAGAAAATAAACCATTAGTTAAGATAATTAAATTCATTGAAACAGAGTCACCTTTACTGGAGAGGAAATACTCATTGGAACAGGGGAAAACATTAATTTGTGCATAGAATAAGATGAAAGCTTGCATTTAACTTGTATTTGCCCCAGCAGTCCATACTCTTCTTATTGATATCCTGGAAAAAGGTATGTGTACTTGAAGTGTTGTGTTAGCTAAGGTAATTATTGCCTTTTAGGATGCCAAGCTGCTAGATTGCTTATGTGCCTGGCTGTGCTCAACAGTGAGCCCCTCTGTAGTGGAACCTGCTGTAACAACTATCTCAGGTAAAGAGGTTTGAGTTTTTATTGTTCATGGTCAACTGGTTTTACATGACGTGGTGTATGTCCATGTAGTGGCTATCCTGTCTTGGAGAGTTTGTATGTATTGAACAGAATTATTTTGTACTTTTTGTCGGATGTTGTTTTCTATGTGTATAAAACAAACATCTTTTAGTTTCTAAGCTAACGTTTGTGTTAAAAAAATGCACTACTTTCACTGTGAGATTTTGGCAATCATCAATGAAAGGTATCTCATGGTCATCGACTTGTTACTATAAAGGCACATCATGTTAACTGGAAAATAGTCAGAGAGTGGTGTTGTACTTCTTAAGCAGTCCACGCAAAATTGGCAGTAAACAAGTTTTCCTTTTACAACTTCTGCCCCATTCTATGTACAACAATTATTGTCCTTGTACAGCTGTATTGTAAAGGATTTGAGGCACAGTATAAAGAAACTACCTCTTATATATCTATCTAATTAGCTGATTATAAATTCCAACCTCAGACTGTTGAGAAGCCAACTATTAGGGTTTTTTGTTATTAATCACTAATATATTATTTATTAACACTCTATTAATTAACAGGAAGTCATCAACGAGAGTCTTGGGATATACAAAGTATGATTCCTTTTTCTTCAATACATATTTGCACAACTGTCAACATGTTCTTTATTCAGTCAAAGACATCAGTTACCGGTGCAGGTTGCTCGGTATATTTAACTAATAACTAAAGATTTTAAACTAACTCATTAGAAATCTGTTTAAAGCTTCAATCAGTATTATTGTATGATTGATCATCTTCACATCATGCACAGTACCCATTATATTATCTTACGGATATTTCTTTCTACTGCTAATACTCCTACTAATTCAATCCATTATTTAGGTGGTTTCTTCACTGTTAGGCTAGGTTTTTATTTCAAGTCTTTTTTTATTATTTATTTATTATAACTTATTTGTCCTACAACAGAAAATTACAATTTTTTTGTTTTAAAAAAGCTTACACTAAATTGGTGATGCGAGGAGACCTTGAAGAACCAAGAACGCTTTTACTATTAGGTGTTAAGGCCTCCTAAACTTACAGAGTCATCTAACATAGTATCACTTTTTTCAAAAGTCTCCTTGAGAATGAAAAATGCACTGGAGTTTTTCATTAGAGAACAGTACCTCCGCTGGCGTGTGTAGCACTAGCTGACAGCCGCAGAGTTTGACATAAGTAGGCCTGGAAAATGCTGAGTGGCCTTGCACATGATAGCAATTCTTTTAGTTTGGCTAATTTAGAATACACTCACCAAAGCATTTTCACAACAACCCAGAACAAGAAAAAGCAGAGAAAAAACAAGAAGAATGAACATTGTAAAAGTAGTACATAAAACACCACTACATCTTAACCATTCACTGCACTCGGTCCTTAAGCCCTGGTGAAATGGGAAATGTTTGGCCACCATTCAAACAAGATCAATTATTGTTTGGTGACCAAACATTTTCCTGTTTGGACACTTGTACACCTGGACACCTGTTTGACCTTTTTTAATAAAATTTGAATGTCTATAGCATTTGATCACACAGTGTAAAACATTTTGTTCAGTTGGATGGTGATCAAACATGTTTCATACTGTTTGGCCATGTGTGGTGACCACAATGTTTGATTGAGTATTGTCACCAAACATTTCCCATTTAGATGGGGCTTTAGGTCATGAGCTTGAGTCACTCTTTTAAGCCTGTACTGTTGGTCAAATTCCCATGTATCATTTTTTTTTTTTACTCAAGGAAGCTGTGTTCTATCTTTAAACAGAGCTTCAGTGGCATCAGTGGACGAAGGAGGACCTCACAGCACTCATCTTAGCAATAGTTGATAAGAGAGAGAAACTTGCACACACTCTGGCCAAAGCATTTTACATTTTTGATCCAGTGAGTCTGTTCATTTTGAAATGTACCCCCAACACTGTACTTATGCATTACTTGAAGTCTTATCAACTTAAAGTCAGATGACCTGTTGCATTAAATTGCACATGGAATGATTTTGGTTCTAATAAAGTGCAAAATATACCTTTAAGTGAGTTTGGGTCTGAATGGCTAACATACCTTTTATGGGCTTCAGTAGCAAATCAAGCAAGCTCTGCTTGGATTTTGCTTTCTTACATGTAGTTCTAAGATGGCAAGTTTTCCACTTCAATAGAAAAATATGCCTCAAGAAAAAAGATTGATAACAGAGTTTTAAATGCTTAATTTATGTTTCCCTCTCCATTCAGAGGAAAACAGGCAATCTTTTCTGGGTACTCTGGAATTAAAGATGCTCTGTCTTAGTAGCAGCATCGATCCAGTGGCTGGAAATGCTATAGAACTAAGGGTTGTAAAAAGATGGCATAAATTACAATTGTTTACCATGCTAGTAACCCTCTTGCTTATATTATCCCTTCCCACAGGCCAGTCCTCTGGTTAAATTTTTTCATTTCCATGAAACATTTCTGGTGCATTCTGATTATGATGCTTGCAAGGAATATTTGATTGCCTTCAAGTTATCTTACAACAAGGTATGTGAAAGAGAAGTGTTTCTTTCTGAAAACTTATGTTGCCATGTAGATGCACAGCCAAATGCATGCAACATTTCAAACCAACATATTGCAACTTTGAAAACATGATTGATCATTGCAGTTATATACACAACTTAAGCAGCTGTGAAATTAAAGCCTGAAAAAAGTTAGGCTTGAATGGGATTTGAAGGTCCCATGACCTCTGCGATATCGGTGCAGTGCTCTGCCAAGTGAGCTATCAAGCCAACTGGCAGCTGGTCACATTATGAATTCATAATATACCACTGACAGGCCATGGCCAGTCGCAGTTCAAATATATGATCTTTCATATATTCACTTGCGTATTGCAACATCCTTGCACACAGCATGTTGCACTTGTTTGGCCACTCTCTTAAACCATCTGAAATTTTACAACTTGTTTATCTCTATCAATTACATTGTCAGCTGGCCATGAAGGTGGCTGTAGACAAGCACGTGGATGTGCTCAAGATTGGGACGTTAGAGTGGCTGGAAGAACTAACAAGTCAAGTCACAAAACAAATGCTTACACATTGTGAGAGTGCCCACCAACAACACCATCTTTTAGCAATTTTGGCACGAACTATGTTTGGAAGAAACTTCTTGTGTAATGGTATGTAGAATGAATGACAATCACACTGTAATAGCTACTGAGTTGAGTTAACAAAGGGTATAAATTTACATGTATCAGACAAAGACATGATAACATACATATAGCTATCAATAGCAGCGACAAACAGCATCTGTATTAAGTGTAGTTCTCAAGGTAGACAGAGCGTTTGCATGTGGACAGAGCATGTTATATAGTGTTTTTCAACGACTTTCAAAGCACTCTGTTGTGTCTTATTTTGCTATTGCATTTAGTCAGCTCTGAAGCTGGCAAAAAGAGCATGATGTACTGTAGCCATTTCTGTACTGGGGAAGAGAAAACATGCTCACAATTCTAACCAAACCCAAGCAGGTGTGACTTGCATACTGTCTTCCTGCTCTTAGCAGTTTCTATTCTTGTTTAGTGCCTGATTATCATGAACTGCATGAAGTGAGCACGGTTCTTCATGGCACAGACACCGACATGAGACTTGAAGTAATGCTGGAGAAGGGAAGTGAAGACAGCCAAGTTGAGAAGGAAAGGGTGCTGCTCTCATTGCTTAACACTAAACACTTTACAGAGGCTCGAAAGTTTGCTGAATTGGTGAAACTGTCTGGTGATCACATTACACGGAAAGAGGTGAGTAGAAATTGGACAACTGAGCAGAATACAACTGCAACATCAACAAAACAACAGTGTGAACAGTTTTGACATTACATGATCTACTGATGAAGGGTACGTCAAAACATCTGGAATTATATTTGACTTTTTTGTCTCGTTTAGTATACTCAACTATCAACAACAACANTTCGAGAAACGGCCCCCTGGACGCTGATTTAAATTTGTTCCGTACTTTGCCGTTGCTACAACGCTTTCTTTCAATACAATACAAATACAACAACCTTTATTTCACCTATAGCACAATTGTTAATATCTTCGAGAAAGTGAATAAATGAACAAATAAATTAAGATGGATATGGAATAATAAAATAAGTATATAAAATTACAATATGTACAATTACGTAATTAATGCAGTGGCATCAAACCATTTACAACTATCTTCAGAAGGGATAGCAGTCGGTGTCAAATTCTAAATTACGAATAGTTGATTTGAAAGCTGCAACTGTTGGTAGTGACCAGGTGGTATTGGGGAGGGAGGTCCATAGTTTACTTCCATGGTAAGATAGAGAGTGCAGGCCGTATCTAGTGGCATTAACACGAGGGATAACAAGGGAATGTCTACCAATAGTACATAGATTTATTGTATGCTGTGGGTTTTATAACTAAACATATTGGTATTATATTCCAGGGTCAGCCCATTAAGAGATTTATATACTAATATGAGGATATAATGTACACGCCCATTAAATAATGCTGGTCGTCCCACACGATTAAGTAATTGCATATAATTACTGTCGTTGTCATTGAAAATGAAACGTAGGCTGCATTCAATAATTTCCCATATGTTTTGTGGAGAATGCACTGCAGATAAAGACAACATTGAACCCTGGAATTTTCATGATGTTAAAGTACATTGTATTACGGCTCATATAACTGTCTGCACTAGATACTCACCTCTAAATCTCAGTTTGACCCCCAGCACAATAACACACACAACTCCTTGTTGCAGCAATGTTTTGTTATGTTTCCTGACACGATTATTAGTAAGAGTGTACTGTGGGTGAAAATGTTTTTGCTCCCCCAAAGTTTTCTTGGTGAAAATCTTGAAAAGACTCAGGCTTCAGTGAGTTTTGAACCATTGACCCTTGCATCTGCTGGTGCAAATGCTCTTGTACTGAGCAGAAAAACTAGTAAATTAAATGCTTTCTTTATTGGAAAAGGGTAAATTAACAGTGGAATGTTTCGTTTCATATTTTGTCTTTTAGTCTTTGCTATATCGAGTCAAACAGCCTGTGACAACAGTTGCTTTTATATAGTGACCCATCTGTAGCTAACTGATTGCAAGATTTGGACTTTTGCACTTTCTGATATCCAGGTTGAAGCAGAATTGGAAAATGCGAAGAACTCCATGCTATGGGAGATAGAGCAAGGACGACTTGCATTCTGGCACAAAGCAGAAAAGTGTTTCAGAGGCCATGGTTGCAAACCAGATACTGTCGGCTCATTCTTTGAGGTAACCAGCATGATATAAACAGTTTATGTCAGGCTCTCCAAACTCTCCAAACTTCTGTAGATATGATTTGTTCTTTAAAATCACAAAATTGCAAAAACACAAAAGTGCTACTTAAGATGTTGTTATCAAGATGAGAATGCACGTCTTTGCAATGAAATGAGACCCCAGACTAAGGGACATGCAACTTTGTCATAGGGACAAAATGTACATCAATGCTCTTGGGGAGATCAGTTGATAAATTAACGCTGGCTTAAAAACTGTAATTATTAAATAAACTTCTATGAAGCGGAAATATTTTTCTCATTGATAAAAATCGTATCTTTATGTGAAGAAATATTAATAATTATCTTTACCCCTTTTAGCTAGACATTGCTACTCAATGACATCATTGATGACATCAATGAAATCTATGAGTTATCAATGGGTAACTGATGGTTAATAATTTGATTAATTAGTCATTATTACTGATGATTAACAGCTAATCCATGCATAATCAATGGACCACAGAATTTTTGGTCTTGATAAGTTATTGATTCCATTGATTAGTCATCAATGACACTGATTGGTCGTTGACGATATTGATTAGACATCAATGTATTCTCGTGGCAACACAAACCATACCGAGGTATAGTTCATGTAAAATAATAAATTCTTTGTGTTAATTCCTCTTATTATCTTCTTAAACCAGTCACCTAATGATTTATAGCAGGAAAGTATATAATTTAGAAAAATGCTGGAAGATTGTAATAGATGTACAGCATATTACAACGTGTATATTACAATGAGTAATCAATGTGGATTAAAGGGGTGGTGATTAGTCAATAGCATCAATGAATAATCAATGACAAAAGCAAGTAATCAATGGGCCACAAAATTTTTGTTCATCGATAGGTCATGGATGACCAATAAACAATGACTAATCAGTTGATTACTCATTGATTACCTGGTCATCGATTAATTGTTGATGTTAATGATCGTTCATTGGTTACATCTTGTCGTAAATGTTTTTTTCATTCTTCCCCCTCCTTCCTGGAAAGAAATACTGGCAGTGATAAATGCTAATTTGTGGAAATCCAGAACAGAATTCTGCCCCTCTTTCCACCCTAGAAGTTCTACTATGACTAAAATAGCTGGGCATACAACTCAACATCATATTGTTTTACAGAACCAAGCCAGTGACACTGAGCTGTCATTTACTGAGCGTGCTATGCTTCTTGGAATAGCAGTGAAGTGGTTTTCAAATCTGCCCTCTGATCAACAACAAAAGACACAAGAAGATTTACAAGATCTTCACAAGAAGCGATGGCTGTTTAAGATACGAGCAGAAATCGAAAAAGACTTTGTGGTTAGATTATGTGATATTCTTATTGATAACTTAATTAGCATTGACGATTGTCGGTCTGTTTTGTTCGAGCTGAACAGAAATTACAAGTCTGGCTAAAGTAAAGCTTGCTAACTTTAGAACCTGTGAAAAATTAAAATCACCATTTCAATAATATAATTTTTTTTACCAAATCTACCCAATGTAAGGGTCTGGGTGATAAATTGGTTGAATTTTGAATTCCAGAGCAGAACACAAAGGAAATACTTTTGAAACTATATTTTGTCAGCATTTCTGTATATTCTTGCTGGTTGTATCAGCTTTGGTGAACTTCCATAAGAACTGAAGGTTTCAACGGGGAAAAAATTGTAAAATGGGTGAAATATGTATTAGAGAGTTGCAATGTTTCAATTTTTCTCCATAATGTTTTTCAATTCCACCCAGGGGAATCTGACCAGATCTGTGAGCCACCTGGAGTTTCTTTCCCATGAAACAGAGATGGAGTTATTAAGTGAAATCAAGCCAGCTAACATAGAAGTAGTTTCTCGCAAGACTGTCAATTTAAAAGAACTTGTGCAAGATGATACTGCTGAAGTACAAACAGACTCTGAATGCCTACTGGAAACAGAAAAGGTGACTTAATAGCACTTTTGTTATACATTTCAATGATTTAGCTGCCTTTGTAAAAATGATGCTTACTGTACAGTAAATATATTTTATGTAGTCTGCCACAAATGGCAAAATTAACTTTTTGCTTGTGTTGAGAAAGTGTGCAGAATGATACTAATTGATCCTTAGTAGAAAAGTAAACTTTACATACCCAGGCAAATTTTACTATTTGTGGCTTAGTTACTCCATCAAAACTAAAGATTTTTTTCTTACCTCAGCACCAGAACAAAAGCTGACATAAATTGTCAGCTGTTGTTCTGATGCTGAGGCAAGATGAAAAATCTTAAATTAAGATTTTAGCTTTTACGGAGTATAGTGCTGTGCTCCTTATTATAGACAAGTCCACATTATAGAGGTCACTTTTTAAGAACAGAGATGTTTTTGTTTATTCCAGGAAATTAGAGCTTTGGAGAAGGTGATTGGTGACTTGTTGGAGGGTTGTCACATCAGTCGGGCACGATGGCTTGCAAGGTTGTTTAATCACAGCTGTTTGGAGTTAGATGTTGTTATGGTATGACATTCTATAATTTACAGTCCAGTCATAATAGTAATGATAATGATGATGATGATGATGATGTTGATCATGATAATGATAATGATAACTGTATCAATTGTTGTATTGATTTTTTAATGTTTAAGTGTGAGAAAAGAGAGGTGGTTTTCACTTAGGTATAAAAAGTAGTTTGCATTGACTTTGGTTTTGCATTACTATGCTCAGCGTACTTTATGTATTATTAGCCCTAATTTTAGACAGCAATGTATAATGTTACACGGACTAATACGTTGTAACTAGTTAACATTTTATGTTTTGTGATTCTTTTATCTAACCTTACATGGTCAAGTGTCATAATAGTGGATTATAATATAATGCTGTGTCTCACAAGGACTGAATTCAAGAATTTGATTGTCTGAAATCGATATTGACCCCAGCCTAGATTTTTCCATCTAAACCGTCATCTAGACTGGTTACTTTTTATGGTGAAAAAGTTGCAAACTAAATACAAAAATATTGATTACTATATCCATTCGAGTAAGCACCCAACACTCATATTATTTTAATTGTAAATAATGTAATTTGCTTTAATTGTAAATCATGTAATTTAACAGAGAAGAGCCACCTTGTGGATCTGTTAAATATACTATTATTATTATTATTGTTGTTGTTATTGTTATTATTAATTAGCACCCACCTCGTATAAGCGCCCATCCTAAAGGCAGTAAAAGTTAATAAGCGCCCAGCTTCAAATAAGATTCTCCCATACAGACCTCCTGCTTGGTTAATAAGAACTAAAATATTAAACAATGTGATCTATTTTCCTTTATGATGTCCTGATCTGTTGCTCTCATGGTAATTTGTTGGCAAAATCTGCTTGTACACAAATTGTAACTATTTAATATCTGAGGTTCTGACTCAGCCTAATGATCAATTTTATTGTCCAGAGTAATGATAAAGATTGATTTCACTCCCACCAGTCATGCATACATTTGGCCCAAGGAACACGTTTTGTGGACACACTTGATGATCACGTTCAGATCCTGCTTTCCTACAAGGGACGACAAGAAAGCCTGGATAGCAGCACCAGGCAATTCCAGCGTTCGGGCAGTTTTATTTTCACATCCAGCTTCACTGAAAAGATGGCAGAAGAGCGTCATGACTCAGTGTCCTCTGCAGACTGGGTCAAAGTTGAAGACATCATCACTTCCATGGAAAGTCTGGCATTCCACTGCAAGCAGGGAAAAAGATGCTGTAATTGTATCATCACCTGCTACAGGGTTGCTCAGGTACCATGATTGTCAAACTTTCATTACTGTCAAGTCAGTTTTAAGAGGTTCTTATAATTATATATGAGCACAGATAATTTCTCCCTCCCAGGGAGAGCACAGATAATTTCTTCTTTCTGTGCCTCTCTGGGAGGTGCGGTGGCCTCGTGGTGCACTTGACTCTGTAATGAGCGGTCCAGGTTCAAGCCCTGGCCAGGGACATTGTGTTGTGTTCTTGGGCGAGACTCTTTACTCCCACGGTGCCTTTCTCCACCCGGGTGTGGGGGGTAACCCTGTGATGGACTAGCATCCCATTTAGGGGGGAGTAGAAATACTCCTAGTTGCTTCATGCTGCTGAAACCGGGTTAAGCTCGAGCCTGGTGAGCCACTTGGCTTGTATGCAGACTATACCTACCTTACAGATTTCTAGTATACTTTCCCTGTCACGCAGTGTTGCATGACAGAGAGAGGGCCACAAATGGACTAGTATACTGTATGATCAGACTTGTACTGTTTTGTTTTGTTTTTTTTNAGGGAGTGGTGATTTATTTCAGTGATTTATTTGTTCCCATCACACCTGGTGTGCCCTCACCAATTGCAGTTAAGTTCATCACTTGTTATGTGTATGTCTACATCTAATTTCTGAGAAGTTTAAAGTGGTTTCTTCTAATTAAAACTGCTTTATTTAACTCTTGCAGACCCTTGGCCAGGAGTATGAGACTATTGTAAATAAGAAGCCTTTAAGCGTTCTTCATTCATTGTTACTCTCTGTATTTGATAACCGCTATAAACTGATGGAGAGTTACATTAAAGCTACACAGCTTGACTCTGTGCAGGTAATAAAAGAGTTTTACAGACTGAGCTGTTTGTAGCTAAATGACTGATGTCTACTGTTACAGCTGGTGAAATACATGGTATCATCAAAACTCATTAGTCCGTCATGATTTTTGGCAACTTCTCATCTCTTAATTGATTTTTCATCATGTCTAAGCCAGTCAATCAGCAAATGACCTTATTCTTAGGCACTTTCAATCTCCTCCTGCTAGTCAGACTAACATTTACTGTTTAACTGCCCAAAACACCACAAAGCCATCACAATAATGCCATAATGGTGTCAAAATCAATCACACTGTTTTTCAGTTGGAGTCCAACAAACAAAACAAGGTGTATTTAGGAAAATGAAAGTGATAGAAAAATGCCTTCTTTGCACATTTGTTGCCATTCTGATGATGTCATCCTTGTATTTTTCTTTAGGTGACACAATTTTTGGCTGACATCATCTTGAATTCTCTTCGTGTTCACAGCACTGGTGAAGGTATAGTTGTTTACATTTTGATGTTGATTGGCATTCATATCAAAGATGGCTTGCTCAACACTGAGTACAGAGCAGCTTTCCATAGTGTAAGTGGTCTTTTGTGTGATTATTCAAAGAAAGGCTATTGAACAGCACTTTCATGTGGTGTTTTCATGCTGTCCAAGGTGGGCCTAACGCAGTTCATTTATGGGTGAAACCAAAGTGCGTGGCAGTTCAAAGGAAAAGTGACTTTAGTTATTAACTTATTAATAAGTAAGAACATTTTGTCCACACAGTGTTAATTGGTAATAACAGCAGCTGCATGGCTGTTTTAGCTATCTCCATGTTATTGTATGGTGTAAATTTGTATTTGTATACAGGGAATAAAACAAAAATTTCAGATGAAAGCTATTGGAATGAGTCCAAACCCTCTTCTGTAACCATTTATATGAAAGCTACTAAACAGTATGGTAACTGTTTATTTTTATCTAGAGATTATCCATTGTAATCCATTGCTCAACCTTCAGATATTTCAGGAAGAGAATACAGCGACTTGACTGTAAATGCGGCACCATCTTGTGAAGACATCAGTCACATGATTCGCTTGTGTCCTGACTATTCCCTGCTTGGTGGCCGTCTCCTGGACACAGCCACATCATTGGCCAATGAGCGTGCTGAAGGAACTACTCTTCCTGGAGGTATTATCACTTGTTTGTGAAATCTTACTCCTTTAGTAAGGTCTCCATGGTTTTGTTTATTATAAGCTAGGACTACTAACTGTACAGTGCCAGGACATTGATGCTAGTTGATGTGAGCATCTCTGGTTCGCAGTATATGAAAACGCCTTCATAAGTGGTTCTCAAGGGGGTTATATCTCGCACATATCAGAGAAGGGTAAGGAGTAGGAAAAAAGTCTATGGATAACTGGGAAATTGGTTAACACTATTGTGAGATTTTTCTAAGCATGTTTTTTTTTTCTTTTTTTTTTCATCTCTGTAGTTTTGTATGTTTCTTATTGCTACAGTAATTGTAAGTGAAAGTTTGACATTAACCCCAAATACAATGCAGTCTTTTATTTCTATTAAGTAACAAAAATTGCGATGGCTGGTTTCTAAATCCTAGATATCACAGTAAAGGAGTTATAGAAATTGCATTTCCAAAAGTTTGGCACATGCTTGGGCACTGGATTAGGCTAAAGCATCTGGTTTTGTTGAACTTTTTAACAGGATTGAACTTAGAAGTGGAGTTGTTAGTCCGTGCTCATGAGTGCCACACATTGGCTTGTAACATGGAGGGCATAGCAGCAGTGCTCCGGAATGGAAGAGTGCTCACAACTGCTTTGGCAGAAACCAGAGATTATATGCTGATGGTAACCTGTTATTCAGTACCTTGAAACATTAAATTCACTGACTTAAACAAATTTGTAAATTTTGCAAGTTTTATACATAGTTTTGTCAAGATGATCATTAGGCTGTGTGCTTGTTTTTTACTCTGCTTGTTTTGGTTTCATGGTTTGGTTGGAAGAAACAGACAAGCAAACAAAACTTTCTTGTGTGCACAATTTCTTTAGATTCATAATTCACAACATTTTTCTCACTACAGGTTCGTCTGCTCACTGGCATAGCTAGGTTCCATGAGATGTCTTACATCTTTGATACTCTCTTTGAACATGAGCATTTTGAGCTGCTTTGTCGAAGGGGAATTGATAAGGTAAATGTAACACTGTTTTACCTTAATAGAAATGTTGCAGCCCAAATACAAAGCCTAAAGAAAATGATTGAAACATCTTGACTGACTTGTTTCAAACTGACATGACTAAAAAGGTTATGGACCTTTTCGGCGATACAGCAGCCATTTTGAATCCTGTTGTTTCAAATAGCTTTTATGGAATGCTTAGGAGGCAAATACATACTAATTTACCCCCTGAGCATCCCACAATAGCTATTGAAATAGCAGAATTCCAAATGGCTGCCGTATCACCAAAAAGGCAGCAAAACAACATTTTGACAACAAAATGTAAGTGAATTTGATGTTAGTGGTCTTGAGTCTGTAAAATCCAATATTGCAATAAATATTTTAAAATAAAAATGACAGAGATAATAATTAATTTTTACATGGCATCTCATGTCCTGTCAGTCCATTTGACTTTTATGTCTCATTACCTTCTTCCAGGAAACAGTTTTCGTTGATTCATTCATTGGCTCTTACTTACTCACTTGCTCACTTGCTGTGTGCTTGCTGGGTTATTGATTTAATTTCTCTTTGGCTCAGGAAAACAAGCTTAAAGTTGCTCTTCTTGAGTACTTACGAAGACAACACCCAGAAGATACAGACAAGTTCTCCATGGTGGCCCATCACTTCAGCATGTACCGAGAGATCGCCCAGACCCTGGAGGAGACAGCTGTGAAACAGCTGGCTAGTCTGGGAGACTGTTTCCCAGGTACTTACTTGGTTTCCTTACTGTAATGCATATAGAAAACATATGGCTGCCTCATTTCTCATGCTGTTGGCTAATTAATAATCAATAAATTATTATCAATTAAACTTTGTCTAGCTG